CTAAATTTATTATTTTCAAAGCTTCATGAAACAAAACATTGGTTACTAACGTATCGGCCAGTTTATTTATTTGTTGGAAAGTTGCTATAAATTGGCAAGAAATAGCCTCGGGTTCCCTTCTTAGCTGTGTTTTGCCACAGTCGTAGATGCGCACATCTTTGCTCCACAAAATACGCGGGTGGAATTCTAAGCTATTTCCGGAGCATCTTTGTTTATCGAGACAGTTGCCCTTATAAGGTTTTCATTTTATTCAACGCGGTGGTCGCTCATTGATTAACAAAAATGTGCTTTCATGGCACATTGAAAAAAATGCAAGCGAAGCACGACGTCAACAGCATTGGTTTGCAGTTTTTTTTTAATGGCCACTCAAGCTCTGTTTGGTTGTTTAGGCTGACGCGATACGACAAGCATTGCGCACATGAGACCTTTGAACGCGGGCATCAATTAATTGTTTTGAAATTGCTGTAGATCGTATTTACGCAACGTGGGAACGTGATCCCGCTCGTAACTCATGCAACTTCGCACAATTGTATCGCTTAAAATCTTGAAAGCTAGCTGTAAGTGGATATTCAAGCTGAAAAAGTGCAGGTCATGTCTGCCATTTTTGACACCCCGTTTGGTTTGATATAGATTGACAGTGACCTTTGCATCTACGTTATTTGCCACACTTGGAAACTTACCTACTTTTTAGAGTATAACGCACTTTTCGCACCAACCTGGGAAAGCGGAGAAGAATTTTCTGTCAGAAGCTGTTTTTTTCAAATCTCGCAATAGAGAAACATAACTTACAGTGGTGCTTTGTACAGTTATCTTTACATGCTTCATTTTTTAAGGTAGGACAGTCTGCTTTGTGGCATGGATAACCAGCGTCTTTGGTTGAGTTGCTGCAAGCACAAGATTTCCCGGGCATACTTTATATTTAAGAGATTAAGCAGATACAATCTGTTTCTTGTTCTTCAAAAGCCAGTCTACCACCTTCTTCAATGAGATGCAACCTTTTGTAATTTAAGAACGTGTCGGCCTATCTGACGA